GTGCACCAAACCACCACCACCGCCACCTCGGTGCCATCACCTCCACCCCACGCGGGAGGCGAGAAGGACACCCATGAGGACCTTCCCCATAGCCGCCCCCCCACCCCCCAACTACGTGGCACCGACCGCTCTCCGGTGGCCGTGGGATTGATCCAGTTTGGTTTCTCCGCCCCAGGAATGGCTCGTGAAGAGCGCGGGGCCTTCGGCTTCATCCCCATCTTCATCCTCGCAGCCGGATTGTTGTTGACCGCCCCGTCGCCGGCGCGAGCCCAGGGGAAGGGCAACCAAGGCGATGAGCGTAAGTCCAACCGGTGGCCGGTGGAAGGAGGGGATGGAGACACCAGGGAGAGAGGGGTTTTCACGGGTACTTTGGAGGGGAACGCATCCGATGACGGGACGGGATGGGATGGGATGGGATAGGATGGGGAGATGCCTCCTCTCGGCTCCTGGGAAACTTGCCGAGGGGAAGGGTTGGGCCAGGGCCCACGGGTTCCAAACGCGGTTTGCTATGGGAGGAAAGAAAAAGCTTCTTAAAAAAAAAAGAAACAATAAATCCACCTGTACAGTCACATCTAAATAAGGAATAAAATAAAAAAAAAAATGAAAACTCATACAAATTTACTAACAAACTGCCAAAAATAGGAATGTAACCACTCCTCAAAAAAATCAAAAAAAAAGGAGGAAATTAAAAAAAAAAAAAGAGTCACCCCGAGGGGGTGAAGGAAAGAAAGGAGAGGTTTCATCTCCATGGGAACGTCCCCGTCCTTTCTTCTGGCCTCCAAAATGATGGGGGGGGGTGAAGGAGAACCCCAACGGACGGGTCTCCGTTGGGGGTGGGGAAGAACATTCCCCGTGATTCCTGAACTGTTGGATGCAAAGACCTCGGAGGTGACATCATCTCAGCACCTTTTAAGCCCAATCAGTGTCCCCGGAGCCGAATGGGAAACTCCCAGGTCCAGCGGAGAAGGAACGTGGTGGTGGTGTCCAGACTCAACGGTCGGATAATTCACCCCGCGGTTCTCCAAGAACTCTTTTCTTGGGGCCACGTTGCTCATTTGGGATGGAGGCGCCATCAAATTTAGTCAGAGCTCTCTCGGTTGCCGGTAGCCTTTGGAAAGCCGGAGGCTGGATTCCACCACAGGGCAGGATCCACCATCTCCACCGACTGGCCTTTGCTGAGGAATAACACCTCCACCGGGGGAGCTCAGGGAAGCCGCTGAGGTGCCTTCAAGGAGCTTGGTGGAAGGGGAAACCTGTGGCTTGAGGGATAACCCCTCCACCGGGAGAGCTCGAGGAAGCCGCTGAGATGCCTTCAAGGAGCTTGGTGGAGTCGGAAGCACTGCTGAGGGATAACCCCTCCACCAGGAGAGCTCAAGGAAGCCGCTGAGATGCCTTCAAGGAGCTTGGTGGAGTTGGAAACCCGCAACTTGAGGGATAACCCCTCCACTGGGGGAGCTGAGGGAAATGGCTGAGATGCCTTCAAGGAGCTTGGTGGAATTTGAAACCTGTGGCTTGAGGGATAACTCCTCCACCGGGAGAGCTCGGGGAAGCTGCTGAGATGCCTTCAAGCCTTCAAGGAGCTTGGTGGAATCGGAAACCCACAGCTTGAGGGATAACCCCTCCACCAGGAGAGCTTGAGGAAGCTGCTGAGATGCCTTCAAGGAGCTTGGTGGAATTTGAAACCTGTGGCTTGAGGGATAAACCCCCCACCCGGGGAGCGAGAGAACTTCTCCACTGGAGGAGCTCAGGGAAGCCGCTGAGATGCCTTCAAGGAGCTTGGTGGAGTCGGAAACCCGCAACTTGAGGGATAACCCCTCCGCTGGGGGAGCTGAGGGAAATGGCTGAGATGCCTTCAAGGAGCTTGGTGGAGTTGGAAACCTGCGGCTTGAGAGAACTTCTCCACTGGATGAGCTCGGGGAAGCCGCTGAGATGCCTTCAAGGAGCTTGGTGGAATCTATAACCCTCTTCTTCATCTATAAAAGGCTTCCGGACGGCCCTTGGGATGTTTCCCCGATGAGCGTTTTACGGGATGACGGTTCCCACCCTCCGAATTTGGCAGCGCTGCCGGGACCGGATAGTGGCGAATTCCAGGTGACTTGAAACCGGGGCGTCTCCCATCGCCACCCGTCACAGGCTGTAATCCCCACCAGCACAAACCAGTCCCACCAGTAAATTCCAATGTCCCAACCACCGGTGGAAGGCAATCGCAGGCAGACGGCACGACCGGCGCCACTTTGCCCACGCCACCATCCATACGGCTCTTCGCCGAGGCGGTCCACGCTCGGAGCCACGATTTCCCCCGCCCAGCTCCCCAAAAAATAGCCCAAAACGCCCCAGACGGCCGCATGGGGGACACAACCCCACCACCCATGAGAAGACCTCTGAGAAGGACTCGATGTCTCCCATTTGGAAGTCCCACGGCACGTGTTTTGTGGGGGTTTTTTGGGAGGGAGGAGGTTTTTTCTTGAAGAAACACCTTTTTTTTATGAAAAAAAAAAATAAATCTCATCTCCTCCCACTTGGACAAAACTCAGCATGAAGGGTCTTCTCCAGCGGCCTTGGCAGAGGTGCCACCTGAGGTTCCCAGAAGGCTTTGCCTGCGGGTGGCTGTGGATGGAGGCCAGGAGGGACACCAGGAGCACGTCGCAAGGCTTCGGCCTCCCCTCATGTGGACACCCGAGCGGAGCTCCGCGTGGTGACGGCCTCAAGGTGGTGATGGCCTCAAGGTGGTGATGATGACCTCAAGATAGTGATGGCCTGAAGATGGCGATGGCCTCAAGGTGGTGATGGCCTCAAGGTGGTGATGGCCTCAAGAAGGTCACAGCTTCAAGATAGTGATGGCCTCAAGATGGTGATGACGGCCCCAAGAAGGTGACGACGGCCCCAAGGTGGTGACGACGGCCCCAAGGTGGTGACGACGGCCTCAGGATGGTGATGATGACCTCAAGATAGTGATGAAGACCTCAAGATAGTGATGATGACCTCAAGATAGTGACAGCCTGAAGGTGGCAATGGCCTCAAGGTGGTGACGGCCTCAAGGTGGTGACGGCCTCAAGATGGCAATGGCCTCAAGAAGGTCCCAGCTTCAAGATGGTGATGATGGCCTCAAGATGGTGATGATGGCCTCAAGATGGTGATGATGGCCTCAAGATGGTGACAGACTCAAGATGGTGATGGTCTCAGGATGATGATGGCCTCAGGATGGTGACAGCCTCAAGATGGCAACGGCCTCGAGAAGGTCACAGCTTCAAGGTGGTGACGACCTCAAGATGGTTGCCCAGAAACCATATTCATCATAAATATCCTGCCAAGGGGAGGGGCACCTCATCTTGTCGACGCCTGACGTTGGTCGGGGTGGCATTGCCTCTCAGAATGGTCCCTTCCTGTCCCCAAGGACCATCACTGTCAGGCAACTCCAGCGGAGGCCCATCTGCTGCGGCCACCTCAAGCCCCGGTAGATGGTTTTACAGCCACCTAAAGGCCAGGGAGATGCCTCTGTGGCCACCTCAAGCCTCAGGAGATGCCTCTGTGGCCACCTAAAGCCTCAGGAGGTGCCGAAGATGCTTCTGTGGCCACCTCAAGCCCAGGGAGATGCCTCTGTGGCCACCTAAAGGCCAGGGAGATGCCTCTGTGGCCACCTAAAGCCTCGGGAGATGACTCTGCGGCCACCTCAAGCCTCAGGAGATGGTGCTGCGGCCACCTACAGCCTCAGGAGATGCCTCTGTCGCCACCTAAAGCCTCAGAAGATGCTTCTGTGGCCACCTCAAGCCCAGGGAGATGCCTCTGGGGCCACCTAAAGCCTCAGGAGATGGTGCTGCGGCCACCTACAGCCTCAGGAGATGCTTCTGGGGCCACCTCAAGCCCAGGGAGACACTTCTGAGGCCACCTCAAGCCCAGGGAGACACTTCTGAGGCCACCTCAAGCCCAGGGAGATGCTTCTGTGGCCACCTAAAGCCTCGGGAGATGCCTCCAGAGACCGGAAAGATCAGGAGATCCACGTCAGAAGCAGGAACTTCAGGCGGTGAGACCATTTTTTCTACGCTACGACTAGACGAAGCCCCTCCAAACCAAGTCGACGGCTTTCGCTCTTCCTTCTCAACCGACCCGGTGGGACCCAAACCACTTCAGCCCCGAAGCGACGCGAGGGCTGCCGTTCCCCGGCGAACTCCTCTCCTCCTTTCTCCTCTCGTCAGGTTTTTCTCCCGCGTTGGGGGTTGACGCAACCGGTTCTAAACGCTGTTCCATCTCCGTGAGCCACGCGGGAGGTGGGAGGCATCTCCAGCTGGTCCTACAGGCTTTTCCCACCGAGCCGGGAAGAAGACATCAGCTCTTTTCAGGTGGCGTCATCTCCTCCGGCGGAGTCCAAGCTCCGGTTGGAGAGGAATCTTCGAGGCGGGAACGGCTGCCCCTCCCTGGAGGCACACGGGGAAACCGGTGGAAGATAAACGGGGGCTCCTGGTGACTTCTCATGGCGCGGGACACCTCGTGGGCCACCACCCGTCATGACAGATGTGGTCTCATGGTTCTTCTTGGTTCTTCTTTGTAGGACCTCCCACCTCAGTCCTTCCTCTGCGTGGGGTGGAAGATAAACGGGAGCTCCCGGTGACTTCTCATGGCGCGGGACACCTCGTGGGCCACCACCCGTCATGACAGATGTGGTCTCATGGTTCTTCTTGGTTCTTCTTTGTGGGACCTCCCACCTCAGTCCTTCCTCTGCGTGGGGTGGAACCGGTGGAAGATAAACGGGAGCTCCCAGTGATTTCCGGGCCACCTCGTGGGCCACCACCAGTCACGATAGACGTGGTCTCATGGTTCGTCTTTGTGGGACCTCCCACCTCGGTCCTTCCTCTGCGTGGGATGGAAGCGGTGGAAGATAAATGGGGGCTCCCGGTAACTTCTGGGCCACCTCGTGGGCCACCACCCATCACAACAGATGTGGTCTCATGGTTCTTCTTTGTGGGATCTCCCACCTCGGTCCTTCCTCTACGTGGGGTGGAAGCAGTGGAAGATAAACGGGAGCTCCCGGTGACCTCCTGTGGCACGGGACACCTCGTGGGCCACCACCCATCACGATAGACGTGGTCTCATGGTTCTTCTTTGTGGGACCTCCCACCTCGGTCCTTCCTCTGCGTGGGGTGGAAGCGGGGGGGTCGGTCAGGTCCCGAACTGGTGGACACCATCCAAGGGCACCAAGGAGGGGGACGGACCTTCAAGGACAGGTTCCGTCTGTGGCTACGAATGGTTGGATAGCGACAGAACCCCAAATCATCTCTTTTTCCTCAAAAAAAAAAACCCACCACGAAAAAGCCCAGTGGGACCTCAGGAGGACGAGAGGTGACTCGGGAAATGGAAAATTAATGAAATTAAATTAAAAACTATGATTTTGGGGGGTTTTAAGATGATTTTGAGTGTCGCAATGGGCAGTTTGAGAGTGAAAAACAGATATTTTTCCCCTTTTCGCTTCCTTTTTGCCTTTTTAAAGACTTCTTTCAGGACTCTTCTCAGGAGTCCGATAGGTGACCCGGGAAATTGAAAAATAATGAAATTTAATTAAAATTAAATTTAAGAGCCATGATTTGGGGGGGTTTAAGATGATTTCGAATGTCACGATGGGCAGTTTGAGAGTGAAAAATAGATATTTTTCCCCTTTTCGCTTCCTTTTTGCTTCTTTTTTGCCTGTTTAAAGACTTCTTTTGGGGTTTTCTTGGCAAGTTCTGACCCACAAAAAAGCCCGGTGGGACCTCAGGAGGGCGATAGGTGACTCAGGAAATTGAAAATTAATGAAATTTAATTAAACTTAAATTAAAAACCATGATTTTGGCTTTTTTTAAGATGATTTCGAATGTCACGATGGGCAGTTTGAGAGTGAAAAATAGATATTTTCCCCTTTTTGTTTCCTTTTTGCCTTTTTAAATACCTCTTTTGGGGTTTTTTTTACAACGTTCCGACCCACAATAAAGCCCGGTGCGACCTCAGGAGGGCGAGAGGTGACTCAAGAAATTGAAAATTAATGAAATTTAATTAAACTTAAATTAAAAACCATGATTTTGGCTTTTTTTAAGATGATTTCGAGTGTCGCGATGGGGAGTTTGAGAGTGAAAAATAGATATTTTTCCCCTTTTCGCTTCCTTTTCACCTTTTTAAAGCCTTCTTTGGGTTTTTTGGGGGCAAGTTCTGACCCACAAAAAAGCCCGGTGGGACCTCAGGAGGGCCATAGGCGACTCAGGAAATTGAAAATTAATGAAATTAAATTAAAAACCATGTTTTTGGGAGGGGTTTAAGATGATTTCGAGTGTCGCGATGGGGAGTTTGAGAGTGAAAAATAGATATTTTCCCCTTTTTGTTTCCTTTTTGCCTTTTTAAAGACTTCTTTGGGGTTTTTTGGGGGGCAAGTTCTCACCCAAAGAGGTGCATTTTTTTCGGTTGGTGGTGGACACGCGTCACCGGTGCCACCACCACCGGTGCCATTCGGTGCTTTGTCTTCCAGTGCCGGAGGAGGACGAGTCCCGTATCATCGGTGGAAGACCTTGCTCCATCACCCAACGTCCCTTCCAAGTGGCCCTCATCAAGAGGGGTCAAATCCTGTGCGGGGGAAGTTTGATAGACGCCCAATGGGTGTTGACCGCCGCCCACTGCAGGCAGCCAATCAGGTAAGTGGTCATGTGGCCCACCTGGCTTCCCTATGAGCCGAGGGGCTCCATTCCCAGCACCCCTCAACGACCAAAGTCCTCCTGGTGGCAGTGGCCCAGATGTTGGTACGAGGTGGTACCTCCAAAGGGGGGGTTCCTCAGGGAGGTGTCCTCAGATGTTGGCACCTCCAGAGTTCGTCGCCTCCGGGTGTGGACGTCTCCAGATTTTGGTGTCCAGAAGTTGAGTTTGGTGCCTCCAGAGGTTGGTGCCTCCAGGGGTGGGCACCTCCAGGGGTGGGCACCTCCACAGTTCATCATCTCTGGTTGTGGACGTCTCCAGATTTTGGTGTCCAGAAGTTGAGTTTGGTGCTTCCAGAGGTTGGTGCCTCCAGGGGTGGGCACCTCCACAGTTCATCATCTCTGGGTGTGGACGTCTCCAGATTTTGGTGTCCAGAAGTTGAGTTTGGTGCCTCCAGAGGTTGGTGCCTCCAGAGGTTGGTACCTCCAGGGGTGGGCACCTCCACAGTTCATCATCTCTGGTTGTGGACGTCTCCAGATTTTGGTGTCCAGAAGTTGAGTTTGGTGCCTCCAGAGGTTGGTGCCTCCCCAGTTCATCGCCTCTGAGTGCGAACATCTCCAGATTTGATGCCTCCAAAGGGGGGGTTCCTCGGGGAGGTGTCCTCAGATGTTGGCACCTCCAGAGTTCGTTGCCTCCGGGTGTGGACGTCTCCAGATTTTGGTGTCCAGAAGTTGAGTTTGGTGCCTCCAGAGGTTGGTACCTCCAGGGGTGGGCACCTCCACAGTTCATCATCTCTGGGTGTGGACGTCTCCAGATTTTGGTGTCCAGAAGTTGAGTTTGGTGCCTCCAGAGGTTGGTGCCTCCAGAGGTTGGTACCTCTAGGGGTGGGCACCTCCAGATTTTGGTGTCCAGAAGTTGAGTTTGGTGCCTCCAGAGGTTGGTGCCTCCAGAGGTTGGTACCTCTAGGGGTGGGCACCTCCAGATTTTGGTGTCCAGAAGTTGAGTTGTGCACCTCCAGAGGTTGGGCACCTCCAGAGGTTGCTCTTTGTGCCCCAGATGTCATCTCTGAGGTGCAGTGTCCCACAGCCGGTGGCTCTAGATGTCGATGTTGCAGCCACGGGTACGTCCAGATGTCGGTGGCACCTCTAGAGGGCAACGAAGGCAACGCCATCCTCCACGTGGAGACTGGAGGACCTCAGGTGTCCTTGGGAGGGTGACAACCTCCAGCTACGAACCCCTTAAGAGAGTCAACCACTCTGAGGTCTAGTCACCTCCTTTTTCCTGGTGACGTCACTGCGTGGAACAGGTCCCCCCTTCCCGGCCCAGCTTCTCCTGAAGGTCCCGTGAGAGGACGCTGGACATTTTGGAGGAGAAATAATAAAATTAAATAAATAAATAAGTAAAAAAGCCAAGGGAGGGGGAAGAAAAGCCGGCAAGAAGTTGGGTTGAGGGCAACGTTGCTGAGATGTTGCAGGCGGGACTTCTGGAGCCAGGAAAATGGAGGTGGAGGAGCTGGAAGGTCAAGAGATGCATTTCTTTGTGGAGATGGTCCTCAGGGGACCTGAGAGCCACCAAAGGGCTCTTTAGAGAAGATCTGACTCTCCGATCCACGAGGGGTTCCCGCGTTTTCCTGGTCTCCTCCCCAAGGTGGGAATGGGATAAGGTGGTGCCACGGCCGTGTCACCTTCATTCCGCCCTGTGGAGAAACTCCAACGGGCAGGTCTTGATCATCTCCTTGATGGCCAACCCTTCAGGTCAGGGCTTTCCACATCTCCTCTGGAGGCACCGGGATCTCTTGACCTTCTTTTTCTCCTCTCCCCGGCAGGGAACTCAGGGTGTTGATCGGGACGGACACGTTACGGGACGGGACGGGAGAAGTGAGGTCCATCTCAAAGGTCCAGGTCCACCCGGCCTACAACCCCCGTAAGAACGACAACGACTTCATGCTCCTGAGGCTCAACAAACCCGTTCAGTTCGGCAACAACATCAAGAAGATCAGGTTGGCCACGAGGTGTCCCAGGGACGGCACGAGGTGCAGCGTCTCCGGTTGGGGCACCACCAAATCCCCTGGAGGTACTGGTTCTTGATGGAGACCTCAATGGAAGAAGTGGAGTGGAGGGAGGCAAGGCGGCAAGGGGAGAAGGTCACCAAGAAGACCCGGTGACCTTCTCAGGTGGGGAAAACGGGACGAGGACATCCTTGATGTCACCATAACTCTGCCCATGGAGGATGACTTCCGGTTGGGTTCAGGGTTGGGTTTCCTTCATGGTCACCCACCTGTGTCCAACGGAGGCATCTCCACGGGCCACCTCTTGAAGAACCCTAGCAGAAGGGTAACGAGGTCTACTCAAGCCTCAGCGTGGGGGCTGGTGGTGGCGGCGGTGGCCGCCTTCTCACCGCGTGTGTCTCTCTCGTGTCCCCACCGCAGCAAAGCTGCCCAAAAATTTGCAGTGCGCCGCCATCCAGACCTTCGGGAGGGACAAGTGCGCCAGAGCCTACGGCAACGCCATCACCCCCAACATGTTCTGCGCCGGCGTCCCCCAGGGGGGCATCGATTCCTGCCAAGTAAGGGTGGCACCTGGCGGGGGGTGACAACAAGGGGAGGGGTGGGGTGGGTGACATCCCTTCAGCCGCCTCCCGGGTGGCGGCGGGGGAAAGGAGGGTCTTGGGGAGGCTTTGGGTTCAACCAGGGGGTGAGATGAGGTCAGGCAAGTCTCGGGTTCCTTCGAGCCAAGGCGTTCAATCAGGGAACCACCACGGCACGTGGATGGTCCACGCAAGGTCCAGGTTCTCCATAACTACCTCCAGCTTCAGCCACGGAGCTGAGGATGGGCCGTGGCACGTGGACAGGTCCACGGGAGGTTTGGGTTCTTCCATTATCTCCAACCCAAGCTACCACCTCCAGCCCAAGCCGTTAAACCAGGGAATGACCACAGCACGTGGATGGTCCACGCAACGTCCAGGTTCTCCATAACTACTTCATGCTTCAGCCATGGAGCTGAGGACAGGCTCTGCCACGTGGACGGGTCCATGGGAGATTTTGGTTCCTCCTCCCTATCTCCAGCCCAAGCCATTAAACCAGGGAATGACCACAGCACGTGGATGGTCCACACAAGGTCCAGGTTCTCCATAACTACCTCCAGCTTCAGCCACGGAGCTGAGGATGGGCCGTGGCACGTGGACAGGTCCACGGGAGGTTTGGGTTCCCACCACGACCAGCTGCTTGATCCACAGCACTGGTGATGGGCCATGACACATGGATGGCTCCATGTAAGGTTTGGGGTCCCACCACAACCTTCTCCTTGACCCACATCTCTGGGGCCGGAATGTTGATGGGTTCATGTACAGTTTGGCTTCCCACCACTAACCTTCTCCTTGACCCACGGTGCTGGTGATGGGTCCATGTAAGCTTTGGGGTCCCACCACCAACCTTCTCCTTGACCCACGGCACCGGTGATGGCTCCATGTAAGGTTTGGGGTCCCACCATGACCTTTTCCTTGACCCACGGCGCCGGTGATGGGTCCACATATGGTTCAGCTTCCCACCACCAACCTTCTCCTTGACCCACGGCACCGGTGATGGGTCTATGTAAGGTTTGGTGTCCCACCATCAACCTTCTCCTTGACCCACATCTCTGGGGCTGGAACCTTGATGGGTCCGCATAAGGTTTCGGGTCCCACCACCAACCTTCTCCTTGACCCACGGCGCCAGTGATGGCTCCATGTAAGCTTTGGGGTCCCACCACCAACCCTCTCCCTGACCCACGGCGCCAGTGATGGCTCCACGTAAGCTTTGGGGTCCCACCACCAACCTTCTCCTCACCCCATGGCGCCGGTGATGTCTCCATGTAAGCTTTGGAGTCCCACCATGACCTTCTCCTTGACCCACGGCGCCAGTGATGGCTCCACGTAAGCTTTGGCGTCCCACCACCATTCTCCTCGCCCATGGTGCCGGTGATGGCTCCACATAAGCTTTGGGGTCCCACCACCAACCTTCTCCGCGCCCCACGGCGCCGGTGATGGGTCCATGTAAAGTCTGGGTTCCCACCATGACCTTCTCCTTGACCCACGGCGCCAGTGATGGCTCCACGTAAGCTTTGGCGTCCCACCACCATTCTCCTCGCCCATGGTGCCGGTGATGGCTCCACATAAGCTTTGGGGTCCCACCACCAACCTTCTCCTCGCCCCACGGCGCCGGTGATGGGTCCATGTAAAGTCTGGGTTCCCACCATGACCTTCTCCTTGACCCACGGCGCCGGTGATGGCTCCACGTAAGCTTTGGCGTCCCACCACCATTCTCCTCGCCCATGGTGCCGGTGATGGCTCCACATAAGCTTTGGGGTCCCACCACCAACCTTCTCCTCGCCCCACGGCGCCGGTGATGGGTCCATGTAAAGTCTGGGTTCCCACCATGACCTTCTCCTTGACCCACGGCGCCGGTGATGGCTCCACGTAAGCTTTGGCGTCCCACCACCATTCTCCTCGCCCATGGTGCCGGTGATGGCTCCACATAAGCTTTGGGGTCCCACCACCAACCTTCTCCTCGCCCCACGGCGCCGGTGATGGGTCCATGTAAAGTCTGGGTTCCCACCATGACCTTCTCCTTGACCCACGGCGCCGGTGATGGCTCCACGTAAGCTTTGGCGTCCCACCACCATTCTCCTCGCCCATGGTGCCGGTGATGGCTCCACATAAGCTTTGGGGTCCCACCACCAACCTTCTCCTCGCCCCACGGCGCCGGTGATGGGTCCATGTAAAGTCTGGGTTCCCACCATGACCTTCTCCTTGACCCACGGCGCCGGTGATGGCTCCACGTAAGCTTTGGCGTCCCACCACCATTCTCCTCGCCCATGGTGCCGGTGATGGCTCCACATAAGCTTTGGGGTCCCACCACCAACCTTCTCCTCGCCCCACGGCGCCGGTGATGGGTCCATGTAAAGTCTGGGTTCCCACCATGACCTTCTCCTTGACCCACGGCGCCGGTGATGGCTCCACGTAAGCTTTGGCGTCCCACCACCATTCTCCTCGCCCATGGTGCCGGTGATGGCTCCACATAAGCTTTGGGGTCCCACCACCAACCTTCTCCTCGCCCCACGGCGCCGGTGATGGGTCCATGTAAAGTCTGGGTTCCCACCATGACCTTCTCCTTGACCCACGGCGCCGGTGATGGCTCCACGTAAGCTTTGGCGTCCCACCACCATTCTCCTCGCCCATGGTGCCGGTGATGGCTCCACATAAGCTTTGGGGTCCCACCACCAACCTTCTCCTCGCCCCACGGCGCCGGTGATGGGTCCATGTAAAGTCTGGGTTCCCACCATGACCTTCTCCTTGACCCACGGCGCCGGTGATGGCTCCACGTAAGCTTTGGCGTCCCACCACCATTCTCCTCGCCCATGGTGCCGGTGATGGCTCCACATAAGCTTTGGGGTCCCACCACCAACCTTCTCCTCGCCCCACGGCGCCGGTGATGGGTCCATGTAAAGTCTGGGTTCCCACCATGACCTTCTCCTTGACCCACGGCGCCGGTGATGGCTCCACGTAAGCTTTGGCGTCCCACCACCATTCTCCTCGCCCATGGTGCCGGTGATGGCTCCACATAAGCTTTGGGGTCCCACCACCAACCTTCTCCTCGCCCCACGGCGCCGGTGATGGGTCCATGTAAAGTCTGGGTTCCCACCATGACCTTCTCCTTGACCCACGGCGCCGGTGATGGCTCCACGTAAGCTTTGGCGTCCCACCACCATTCTCCTCGCCCATGGTGCCGGTGATGGCTCCACATAAGCTTTGGGGTCCCACCACCAACCTTCTCCTCGCCCCACGGCGCCGGTGATGGGTCCATGTAAAGTCTGGGTTCCCACCATGACCTTCTCCTTGACCCACGGCGCCGGTGATGGCTCCACGTAAGCTTTGGCGTCCCACCACCATACTGGACTGGATCTCCCTCATTAGCGCTAACGAGAACATCCCCCCATCATCTCCCACCAGACCCCTCCCACCCCCTGCGCTGGGGAAAGGCCCTAATTAATAAGCTTAATTAACAAGGCTGATTAATAAGTCTGATTAATAAGGCTAATTAATAAGGCTGATTAATAAGATTCATTAATAAGACACTCATTAATAAGACTAATTAACGGAGATAATGAATCCTCGGCCCAATCTCGGCGCCGGCAGCTTGCTTCTCCCAAACTCTCCGTCCCCACCCTTCATTAATTAGCCAATTAATTAATGAATTGATGAATTAGCGGCACTAATTAGGAGCCTGGTTGAAAGCCGAGGTCACATG